AAAGTTTTCGATTAAAGAATCAAATTTGATCGTTAAATCAGCTTTGGATCGATTCAAGTCATCCAACTGTCAATTGGATGCTTTGCTAGCCTTTCAACTAATACTGTCGGCCACTTATTTTGGTATTCATTGTGCTCTAAATTTAATTAAGAATTTATTAATGAAACCCTTGTTTACTATTACCGGCAATTAGTTGGTTCTGTTGGACTCGACTTAGAGAAGAATATGGATGACAGCGAAGAGTTCTTATTGGCAATGGAGAAGTTGGCCGTCATTTTCGAGAGACTGAAGACTTGTCTGTCATACGAAGCCCAACAAATATGTAATGTTTTGCCGCATTTTTTGTGTGAATTTTTCCCTACTCAAGATATCCTCAACAAATGCATCGGGGAATTCCTGTCCGGACAGCAAACTCAAGCCAAACATTTGGCTAATATTCTATATGTGGTATTATTGTTATTAAAATTATATTATATTCATACGATGACTAAAATTTGGATTTCAATATTTGTCAGGTTTTTAACAAATTACAAACAGAATCGCGTTTAGATATAGTACACGACTGGGTCATTCTATCCCTGTCCAGCTTTACTCAACTCAGCCCTATAGGTGCGGCCATTTGGTCGCTCACCAGTTTCCTCATAAGTGCTTCGGTTAACCCATGGATTCGTTGCGCGTATGAATCACTTTCGTGTCTATGATTGAAACAAATGAGAGACAAAAGTTGAAATAGGCGTGCGTCACGTCATTTTGTTAGCTCAAAACAGTGCTTTGCATTGCATCATTGCACGCCTATTTCAACTTTTGTCTCTCAAATGTATTACAGTATATGTAATGTAACATAAAATGAATTTTTGGTCCCAGGTTTGCATACATTCAAACTCGTTTTGGACTTTTGGAGGACATCGACAGACAATTGTTTGTCATTGTCTGCTATAACTTCTATAATGAAGTATTATTTTACTCATCATTTGAAGCAAAATATTATTTATTAAAATATACTTTAATGTTAATTACAGCTGAAAAGTGAGCCAAACAGAGAGGCATTCCGTACAACCTTTCAAAGTGTCGGAGAACCCGATTCTCCATATTCTCAGGTTTTGAGACATTTGCAGATCACTAAGTCGTAAGACACCGCAGCAATCAANTTATTTTACTCATCATTTGAAGCAAAATATTATTTATTAAAATATACTTTAATGTTAATTACAGCTGAAAAGTGAGCCAAACAGAGAGGCATTCCGTACAACCTTTCAAAGTGTCGGAGAACCCGATTCTCCATATTCTCAGGTTTTGAGACATTTGCAGATCACTAAGTCGTAAGACACCGCAGCAATCAATAGCTTAGATCACACGTCGGGTCACATCCGTGTTGTTATTGTTTCACTTACTATACAATTGTTGCGAACCATAAGAATAAGTTTGAAAATCTATAATTTTTTACAAATAAATCGAGAAAATAGTTAATCATTAAATTAATTGGCAATCATATTATGATTTGATTTTAATTTAAGAATATTTAATATGTGATATCAAATGAATTCATTCCATATATTTATAATTTATTGTAAAATTGTTTTAATTTTAATATTAAATAAAATAATTGTTTTAATTTAAGGCAAACTTTGGGTTAAAAAGAGCGCTAAGAGTGAAGCACTGAACGATTGGTTGCATTGAAATCAATGCTCTATCAGTGGTATCGCACCAAACCATTACCACTGGTAGAGTCCTCCCAAAACACCCCCAAATGACAACCCTTTTGATAATTTGATAACATTTTATTCAATCAAATCATTCATCACTACTTAATTGTAGACATATTTATAACAATTAATAAACTATTGTTTGAGATTAGCTGTCAACTCAAATAATGTATAACTAAAGCACACTATACTGTACTGTACTATACGTGCATTCATAGCAGTATTGGTGATAATGTGTTAGATTAGCAAACATTGAATGATTAGGAGCACAGGTATTAAGGGATCAAATGGTGGCCCAATTGGTGATGGAGTGAGAGGTGATGCGGTGGACCGGCTGTTGCCCTCGAGCCCCGGCTTTGGTCTCACTGTGAGAACGATTAGGCGCTGTCACCCCCACCCACACCCCCGTGCGATAGGCTGTGCGCCAATGTTCGTGCAATGTAGGGCTAGTGGTGTACAGTGTAGTGAACGCATAGACAGACAGAGAGACAGACAGACAGACTGACAGATAGACTGTATGAGTGTTTGAGTGTTAGTGTTGTGAAGTGAATGCATTTGATATGCGATTTGTGCACACATTTGAAGCCATCAGTGGTTCAGTCGACGACTTAATACTCAATCCATTGCAGTGTTGATCACAGTTTCAGTGAAGCAGTGGTTGTGATTGTCATGTAATGAGTGGTCAATGAGTGGGAAGTGTTGATAATTGTGGCACAAGAGCTCACCATTCATAACAAGATTGCATTTGTGGTTCAATTGCAATGAATGCAAGTCTTGAGAAGTGATCCGTCGATGAATGTGCGGCCAAACGAGCACTTGATGTCTGTTTGGAGCGGTTGTTGAGGTGTTGTTGAGGTTGTGGTGCAGTTGTGGCCGAAGACCTGCCATCGGTTCATGGAATTAATGGAATTGGAAAACATTGTCGCAAACACTGTGTATCTTAAGGCCAGGGAAGGTATGTCACCACCACTTCCACCATTACCACTGATTTACCATTCATTTCACTCCTTTATCACATAAGTTGATCCAATCCTTACTGTATTTGTGATTACAAGTGAATTGGTTGTGTACTGTATATGATATGTGTATCAATTGGTTTGCCATTAACTGGTTTGCCATCAAATTATGTGATCACTCTTTGCTTTCTAATGAATCCATCACTGGATGTGTTGTTTTCAGATTAGTTTCAATCAATTATCGGTCCATTAATTGAATGCAAATACAGTATAGTGTGAGACAAGCAGTGAATGTCTAATTAATTGATATCTTAAACGACACGAAACCCACTTAACGATACTATATATCTGTTGATCTGATCCGATGTGATAATCACATGATGATAATGCCCTGTAAGTGGTGTGAACTCATAATCCTAAGCCATAACCATAACCATCACTGGATGGCAACAAATAGGTGTATAAATGGATATTATATTTGGTGTCAATTATTGATACCATTTCTCATCCAAACTCTTGTTTTAGTGTTTTCTCAAACTCTAAGCACTCGTACATCGATTGCATCCATTCCTCCATCCCTTTCATCCAACCCTCCATTCAATCGTTTGTTTACTAAAAGAGATTTTGAATAAATAAATGCTTGTATTTATCTATCAATTAGTTTTGCCTCAAATCCTATTGAATTCTTCCCTTTTTTCAATTCAATGCAATTATTATAATGTGAAGTGAATGCAAATTATTATTAAATTTGTATAACGTTTGAAGTGTATGTTTATGACAGTGAAATGCAATTATTAGACATCTATTAGAAAAGCCCACATTTTCTACTTATATTAAGTGCCTTTAATTTTGAATTTATTATTATTAATAGCAATTTAAATACTTGATAACCCATTAGGTCTCCACTGAATTACTTAATAATAATTTCTTAAATGTAGCATAAAATAAATTTTAATTTAATATGTTTTTGTTTTCCTAAGCTTATTATTAATTACTTAAATAATTTCTATTATATTAATTGATACTGTGTTGTGATTACTTTATGCTTTTCACATTTACATCAGTGATATTATTTTGCTTATTAAACATAATTTGATTTAAA